ATGGGAAAGCGTCACTATAAAGATGGAGGTCTTCGTAGGTACAATACACCAAACCTCTGAAAAAAGATGTGAACATAATTGTTAAAGAAAATATTTGACTTCACTAAAATAAAAATAAAAACTCAACTTTTGAAAAAATAAAAATAAGTTAAAATTTTAGTTTTAGCATCTGTTAGTTTTAATGTATATTAACTTATTAACAACATAGGGTGCAGTTCACTAACATGTTAGTTGTGTTAATTTTAAAAGAAGCTAATGCTGCTTTGCTGCATAATGAAACCTTTTTGTGGCACACTGAGTTGTCACAGCAGTAAATTTAATTAAAAGCAAACTGAGAATCATGATGACTCAGTTCCACTGAGTTAGTATGCAAAAGAAGTCACTCTTTAATATTAATCACACTAATGCTACTGCAGCATATCCAAACGTCTGCTGTGGAAAATGTTCATGAATACAGGTTTAAAGGTCCTGTAAGCCGACACAGGTGCTTTCAATTATCCTGCATAATTAGACCTCACTTACTCACTTGCACTTACAGCACTGGGCAAAAATCTTGAGCCACCCCTCATTTCTTTACATCTAACAAGCATTCCTAACAAAATGTTAGGAAAACTGAAAATAGGTGCAGCAATGGGTAAACATATATGGAAATACGGCACATAAGGGAGAAACTGGGTCTGTAAAATTCGAACAACCTTGAAAGTTCATAATTGGTATGACTATCTTTATCCTTCAACACAACCCGAACTCAAGCTTTCGCGTAATTAATTTCTTGTAAAGAAAGCTTTACAAACTTTCTTGTAATTATTTAAGTAGTCTTCAGAAATAGTTTCTAGGCTTCTTGAAGGACCTTCCAAAGCTCTCCTTTTGACGTTGGCTGACTTTTGCTGCCTCAGTAATGTTGAAGTTCAGGCTCACGATGTTTCATTGTGTCTTTTTCTATCTAAGTATGCTTTTACTGTATTCTCACTGTGTTTGCAATCATTGTCATGCAATGAAGCCATTCCCAACCCCCGTTGAGGTTAACGTACCGCTGATTTTCAGATGGTATTGGATCAAAGTCTGATTGTTTTATTTGATTGTAGTGTGTTCACAATTCCATCAGTTTTGATAAGAACCACCCGAGCAGCTGATACGCAGCCCCAAACCATGACAGAGTCGCCGCACTCACTGCTGAAAGTCTCCTCTGACCTCCTACTGACAAAGATTTAAAACAAAAATGTGAATTTATTACTCCATAAGAGCTGCTCCCACTGATTTTTAAACCAGTCCTTCATCATGTTGTACTTTCTTATTAAGAACGGTTTCTTGACAGCCATCTTTCCACTATGACCATTTCTGATGAGGTTTTGGGAAAAGGTGGATGGATCAAATGAAGGTCAAGATTCATCTCTTCTGGATTTTCCCTCCTATTTCTTGAGGACATGACTTTCCTCTATCAGATGCTGCACGTAGCTTCTTCTTCTTTTGTCCTCCACTTTCACCATTTCACTTTCCTCAAACTTATCATTTTTTGTAGATTCAGCTAAAGAAATGGGATTTTGTGTGTTATTGTGATAGGCTGTTATTAACAAAGTGTCTAATGATTTACACTCATGCACTGATCTAGTAGATTGCAGTCTAACAAATCCTGCAATAAATGCTCCCTTCATGAAAACTTCAATGTGTTAATCTGTTCAAGACAAGTCTTTTGCTCAAATTTGTTATGTTAAAGTGTTAAAGTGTATCTTATCAGGTAGATAAAATAACAGGAAATTAAATAGAAATTTAGAGTAACACAATCCAATTCAACTGCATTAGCTACGCTAACTAACCTGGCAACAGTAAAACGAGTGAAAACATGTTGATGGTTTGCAATTATTATTATCTTTTTTATCTCTGTGATGTTTCTTTGACTCGTGTAGCTCAGTTTGATTCCATCCAAACAGCATTTCCTGCCGGGTACCAGG